CTTGATTATTGTTGCTTTGTACCAAATTTTGAGATCAGGAAGTGTGAGCCCTCCTACTTTGTTCTTTTTTTCCAAGATTGTTTTGGTTATTTGAGGTCCCTTGCAATCCCGTATGAATTTTAGAATCAACTTGTGTCGATTTCTACAAAGAAGTCAGTTGGGATTCTGATAGGGATTTGCATTGAACTTGTAGATCATTTTGGAGAGGGTTGTGAGTTGAATTGTGTCCCCCAAAATAATGTATGAAGTTCTAACTGTCAGTACCCATATGTGTGATCTCCTGTGGAAATAGGATCTCTGCAGTTGTCATCAAATTAAGATGAGGTCATACTGGATTAAAGAGAGTCCTAAATCCAATGAATGGGATCCTTATAAGGAGAGAGAGATTTGGAGACAGAGACACAAAGAATTTGGGATTGGGAGACAGAGACACAAGGGGGAAGGCCATATGAAGACAGATGCAGGGATTAGAATTATGCTACCACAGCCAAGTAACACCTAGGGCCAACAGAAGCTGGAAGAGGCAAGAAAGAATTCTCCCTTAGCGCCTTTGGGGAGAGTGTGACCCTTGCCAACACCTTGATTTTGGACTTCTGGCCTCTAGAACTGTGAGAGAACAAATTTCTGTTGTTTTAAGCCAACTTGTTTGTGGTACTTCATTAGAGCAGCCCTAGGAAATTAATACAGGGAGTATTGCCATCTAAGCTTAGTCGTCTGATTCATGAACATGGTATGTTTTTCCATTTATGTAGCTCTTTACTTTCTTTAAACACATCTTCTAGTTTTTAGCATATAAGTTTTGTGCCATGATGTTGCTTCTCAGAGGATTCAGCCTTGGGCATGCACACAGTCACCCTGGGATGACGATGGTGGCAGGGCTCTCCTTCACTGTCTCCTTCCTTGATCACACCCAGGTTTAAGCTCCGCTAATTGCTGATTGATTGCTCTCATTTTCAATATGCTGTGGGGCATCAATTGTCTATTCAGGGAATCAATTAAGTTTGGGCTCTTTTATAGGTATACTTATAGACCTAGCGTACACCTAGCAGGGATAGTTTTTTGAGATCAGTGTTTGAGCTTCATTCTGACCCCAGGAGGGCTCTTCTTAGCTATTTCTGTTTCTGGTTCTCTCTGGTAAACCAGCCAACCCACAGTTTAACTTATATCTCTAATAAATCTATCAATTTCTTCTTCATTGCTTTCACCACAGCTGTAATTTTTTAGAGTACACCCTTAGGCTTGAACTTCTCCACACTCTATTACAAATTAAGTCAGTTCCTTAAGAAGAGATTCAGAGCTCTTGTTCTAAGGCTTGCTTATCTCCTGGGCTAAATCTCTGGGGGCTGGGGACAGTGGTCATACTTTTCTCTAAGTGGCACCCCCTTGTTAGAAACTGAGCACTTAGTGGAGGGGGTAGGCAGCAGCCCCCGGTCTCCTTGGTCTGCCTCTTTCAGGGTGGAACTCCTGTTGATGAGCTGGGGCAAGGGTGATCAGGGCCCCACTTTTCTTGTCAGCACCATGCCCAAGGTAGAGCCTCCATCCTAGGAGTAGGGGCTGGGTGAAAGAAGGGGAACGTTCCCCACCTCTGTCCACACTTGCTTAGAATTTAGCTTCAGTAACAGGTAGCTGGGAGCAAGAGGAGAAATCCAGACCTCTCTAGGAGTTGGGAGAGAGGAAGTCCTGTATTCTTGGTTATACCTATTGGGAATGGAGTTTCTTTCTCCCTGAGCTGTGGGAGGGAGGTAGTGATTCTTGGTTTAAATACCATAGACTCTCACTGTTATTACTGAGTTGTTACAGCTTTTCTTGAGTAAATCATGTGCTGTGTTGCCCTTAGAACCGTTTCCAGAGACTTTGTCCTTTTTGCAAATTTTACCAGTTTTGCAGAGGGCAAGCAGGTCCACAGAGCTCCTCATGCTGACTTGGCAGAAGCAGAACTCTGTGATATTTGGGTAAGAGTGTTTTAGCGATGTTCAGCAAATAATGTGTAGGGAATGAAAAATGTCTTATGTAATAACAAGGTAAAAATTCACAAAGACTTTCGTTTTACAAAGAATCAGGACAGACTTAATCCTGCCTAACAACTGAATTTTGTTTCTCAACCATTAAGAAATATTTGTGGACGTAGGAGATGCAAATCATTTAGATGTGTTTATGTGTATCACCATTATGTCTGAATGTATCTGCCAAGATTTTAAGAGCCATTATTTCTAGCATATGGCAAGCAATCTTCATTCTCTATCTTCTCAAAAGTAGAGGGGTACAGTGGGCAGTCCATTTTTCAGGAAAATGCTTAGATTTGTGATTTTGATTTCCTAGGTACAGAGCCAGATGGACTCCTTCGGACAAACTACAGTTCTGTGTTAACAAATGTTGGTGCTGCTCTGCATGGATTTCATGACATTATGAAAGGTAGGCCTTGAAAAAGAACGTAAGCTTAAAACCTTTGCCCGACTTCCTTCGATCTGCCTGAATAAGATTTAAACAAACACTGCCAGGGGTAATAGACCCCAGATAAAGGCTTAGTAGCATTCGGCTTATGTTGGGTGCACAGCTCACTGCCTTCTGCTTTTCCCTTCTGCTTTATTTCTGGAGATAAACAAAGTGCTGAAGAGAAATCCTTGTGTACTTTAGCCAGAAATACATTACACTGACTTTAGGCAGGTGTGTGAATTGTACGAAACCAGACATGCTGTTCAGAGGCCTTTTGCAAAATACAATGCACTTCTTAGAGCCCAAGCACAAAGGAATTGAGGAAACCAAGGCTTCAAGTCCCCAGAAGGAATACACTAACTTTCCACCATCCTGTGCATTTTAATGTTTTAAATGCCTTTTAAAGTCCTGTCTTGTTGGGCATAGCCATAAGAAATGAAAGTCTGGTTTTACATTTTGGTCAGTTTTCAATTGCTTCTGTGCTCCTAAAAATGTAGTCTGCTGAAAGGCCGAGGGGAACCTTTTAAAGCATTTCATATGCTTCTTAGCGTGTGATTCTGAGTCCTGACTAATCTACAACTTTGCAATTGCTTGTAGGTTTTTTTCCCTTTCTTTTCCTTTTAGAGACTGTTGGGGTAGGGAAAGCAGGGGAAGGAGAAGAGGGACAGGAGCAATCATTAAGGACTGTTGGAAATAGTCCAGGTGCCTAGATGATTCATTGTGTTTAGTTAACAATTAGTGACCAATTACTAATTGCACAGAATTTAAAAATTATTTTTAAAAACCTAAAGCTGTGTTTCGTAACATGGAAAAGAGGGATCTATTGGGGGACCTGATCTGTGGCACTGGGATTCATACTTAGTCTCAGCAGTATTACCAAGCACCAGTTTACCATTCACACTAGAGTATGGGCCTTTCTATGGCTTGTATTCAATTATAAGGAACTTTATAATTTTTTTGAGATTGAGTTTCACTTTATTGCCCAGGCTGGAGTGCAGTGGTGTGATCTCCGCTCACTGCAGCCTTTGCCTCCTGGGTTCAAGTGATTCTTCTGCCTCAGCCTCGTGCGTAGCTGGGATTATAGATGCATACCACCATGCCCGGCTAAGTTTTGTATTTTTGGTAGAGATGGGGTTTCGCCGTGTTGGCCAGGCTGGTGTTGAACTCCTGACCTCAGGTGACCCACCTGCCTTGGCCTCCCAAAGTGCTGGGACTACAGACATGAGCCACTGTGCCTGACCCCAATTATAAGGAACTTTGAACGTCACTGTACTTACAGAATTAGCCTTGGTTTCAGAAATCACAAGTTGGATAGGCAATATGGGTGGTAGTTAATGATATTCAACTCCAGTCCTACGGAATTTAGTTTGGCCTACAGAAAAATCCAAGAGATGTTGCTTTTTTCCTGTGTGGCTTTTGGTTTGAGGAGCTAAGACTTAGTTGTAGTCCTCTCTTCCAGAATTTTACTTAGCCTAGAACCAGGCCATTGAAACCGCAAGTACCTCTGTAGCTACAAGTTTTTTAGTTTTGTTTTAAAATTTTTCCTCTGCTGGCTAGGTGCAATAGCTGACACTTATAATCCCAGCATTTTGGGAGGCCGAGTGGGAAGATTGCTTGAGCCCAAAAATTTGAGACTAGCCTGGGCAACATAGGGAGACCCTGTCTCTACAAAATGAAACAATAAAGTGAAAAAAAATAAATTTTCCTATGCTAATACAGGTTGAGCATTCTTAATATGATAATCTGAAATCCAAAATGCCTCAAAATCTGAAGCTTTTCAAGTGCCATCATGACACCACAAGTGGAAAATTCCATACTTGCCCTCACGTGACATGATAAAGTTGTAGTCAAAACTTAGTTTCATGCACAAAATTATTAAAAGTATCGTACAAAATTACCTGCAGGCTATATGTATAAGGTATATATGAAACATAAATGAATTTCTTATTTAGACTTGGATCCCATCCCCAAGATACCTTCTTATGTATATGCAGATATTCCAAAATCTGAAGAAATCTGAAGTCCAAAACACTGCTGGTCCTAAGCTTTTTGGATAAGGGATTCTTAATCTATTGGATGATAGGTTGGTCTCAGTGTAAACAGAGGAATTTATTAAAATATGTATCATACATGGAATTAAAACAGAAGTGACTTAATTGTTTAACAAGTGGCATTTTGTTTTGTAAAAGAGGAGTATATGTAGTCACTTCCAAATATTGGAGGAGCTGAGAAACCAAAGAATGAGGCAGACAGATCCACTTCGTTGGTATAGGGTGATTTACTGGGGTAGCTTATAGACAGAAGAATGGTGTTGAGGCAGTCATAAGATAAGAAGGTCTTTGTACTGCAACCTCCCAGGCACAGGGCTTATATCTTGAGGGAAAAGTACATGTGCTCTGGAAGGAATGTGTAAGTGGGTATAGCATCACAGCCTATGATTTTTTGTAACAGTATCAAGAGTTGTTTTGGAGGAAACTTATAGTGAATACATGTTTTTATATAAAGAGTAATATATCAACTAGACATTTTGGAGGTATTCCCAGACTCGGGGTTAGCCAGAAGTTATATGACAGATTAGTATTTAAAAGAAAGACACTGTTTGTTTGTTTGTTTGTTTTTTATGATTTCTACTTTATTCTAAAGTGACTATAGTATAGTCTGTAGTTGTAGTTATGAAAATATATAGACCAATGTTTCCCAAAGTTTAGTATATATACACATCATCAGATGACTCTTTTCCCCCCCCCAACTTTTATCTTAAGTTCAGGGGTAAATGTGCAGGATGTGCAGGTTTGTTACATAGTTAAATGTGTGCCATAGTGATTAGCTGCACAGATCATCCCATCCCCTGGACAGTAAGCCCAGCATCCATTTGTCATTCTTCCTGATGCTATCCCTCCCCCCATCCCCCACCCTCCATCAGGCTCCTGTGTGTCTTATTCCCTGGCATGTGTCCATGTGTTCTCATCGTTCAGCTTCCATTGACAAGTGAGAACATGCAGTATTTGATTTTCTGTTTCTGCTTTAGTTTGCTGAGGATAATGGCTTCTAGCTCCATCCGTGTACCTGCAAAGGACGTGATCTCATTCCTTTTTATGGCTGCATAGTATTCCGTGGTGTATATGTATTACATTTGCTATAAAATAAAGATACTTTTTTTTGAGATGGGTCTCGCTCTGTCACCCAGGCTGGAGTGCGGTGCTGTGATCTTGGCTCACTGCAACCTTTGCCTGCCAGGTTCAAGCGATTCTCCTGCCTCAGCCTCCTGAGTAGCTGGGACTACAGGTGTGCATCACCATGCTGACTAATTTTTTTGTATTTTTAATGGAGACGGGATTTTGCCATGTTGGCCAGGCTGGTTTCAAACTCCTGACCTCAAGTGATCCGCCTGCCTCGGTCTCTCAAAGTTTTGGGATTATAGGCGTGAGCCACTGTACCTGGCCCAATGTCAAAATCCTAAAATTCACAGGAAACCATAAAAGGGGCCTGAATAGCCAAAGCAAACAGCTCAAACAATAAAGCTGCAGGCATCACATTAACTGACTTGTACTGCTTTATAAAGTCATTTAGCAAAGTAGTGCACATAGTATTTTACCCTTCTCTGCCCTCTTCCTTGTAATGTACAATGAGAAACAGAACAGAGTACACATTGTTCCAACCCAAAGTGCTGGGATTATGGGCGTGAGGTACCGCACTGGCCAAGAGTGTCTTTATTTTAAATTTTAATCCACCGTGTAACTTCTGACTAACCCTGAGTCTGGGAATGCCTCCAAAATGTCAATTTAATATATTACTCTTTCTTATTTTTTATTTTTAAAATTTCTTTTTTTTTTTTTTATAGAGGTGGGGTCCTTCTGTGTTTTCCAGGCTGGTCTCAAACTCCTGGACTCAAGTGATCCTTCTGCTTCAGTCTCCCAAAGTGCTGGGATTACAGGCATGAACTACCATGCCCAGCCTAATGTATTACTCTTTATATAGGAATACCTATTCACTGTAAGATTCCTTCAAAACGAACTTTGACGCTATTACAAATCATAGGCTGTGACTCCTGTAGCCACCCACACATTCCTTCCAGAACACACATACTTTTTCCCCAAGATATATGCCCTGCGTTTGGGGGTTTGCCATGCAGCGATCTGTTTTGCAGCCACCGAAGACCATGCTTCTGTCTGTAAGTTCCTCCTAGTAGATCTTCCTATACCAATAAACTGGATTTGCCTGCCTCGTTCTTTGATTTCTTGGCTCCTTCAGCATTTGGGGGTTGTGTTGCAAATACAGCCCTTTCAAGGAACATATTCTCAATGATAATTGTTTGATCTTTAATCTCAGAGGTGTAAAGTTGGTAGACTCATGGGAAACGTAAAAGGAAAAATCTATGGTCTAAGCCACATGATTCTTTTGTACATTTTGGAGTTAAAATTTAATGTCAAAAAGCACTCTAAATAATTAAAAATAAACTTTTTTTTTTTTTTTTTTGAGACAAGTGATAACAGCTAGCGCTCTGTTTTGTACGTGTTTCATCTTTTTCACTTGGCTTTTGAGACAAAGTCTTGTGCTGTTGCCCAGGCTGGACTATAGTGGCATGATCTTGGCTCACTGCAACCTCCCACTCCTGGGTTCAAGCAATTTTTGTGCCTCTGGCACCCGAGTAGCTGGGATTACAGGCACATGCCACTACACCCAGCAATTTTTGCATTTTTAGTAGAGATGGGGTTTTGCCATGTTGGCCAGGCTGGTTTTGAACTCCTGACCTCCAGTGATCTGCCCACCTCGGTCTCCCAAAGTGCTGGATTACAGGCGTGAGCCACTACATCCTGCCAAGAGTAAACCTTTTGATTGCGAAAATGACTATAATCAAGCTACAATAGCATTGTTCTTAGTATTGTACTTTTTTCATGAGTACCTCAATTACCATCAACCAAGACTGCTTACCAGCCAAATGGTATTATTATAACGTTGTATACTTCCAGTAAAATATTGAGTAAAACTGATGTGTAGAAAAAAAATGTCTGTTAGGGATGAGCAAGTTCTGTATGCAAAAAGCATTCAGTACTTATAGACTGTTGGTGGGATGTCAATTAGTTCAACCCCTATGGAAAGCAGTATGGAGATTTCTCTCGTTTTTAGAGTTCTAAAAATAGAATTACCATTCGACCCAGCAATCCCACTACTGGGTATTAACAATCCCACTACTATGTTCACCATTTGGCTGATGGGCTCAATAGAAGTCCAAACCCCAGTATTACACAATATGCCCGCGTAACAAACCTGCACATATACTCCCTGCCTCTAAAATAAAATATAAAAAACATAACAAAAAACATTCAGCATCCTAATTGAATTTTTATACACTTGGACATCTTATGACTATATTAAGGATAATAATTTCTTTTCAAAAATACATTGAATGTAATAGTAATGTGCCAATTGGTTGGTTCCTTTTCTGTGACAGCTGCACCATAGTGATATAATATGTTAACAATAGGAAAAACTGGCTAACGGGTATAATGAAACTCCATAACTTTTCTATAAGTCTAAAACTATCCTAAATCAAAGGTGTATTTATACAAGTGTATATAAATATAGGAATATATTAATTATTTTTAAATTCCCTAGTTTTAAAATGTTAGTGAAAATAATCTCATTCATGGACCATAGTAATTTTGAGTTAAAATATCATGATCATTTCAGGTTAAATCTCAAATACTATTTCTTTGCAAATAGTCTTATTTCCTCCATTAATTATGTATAGTCTAAAATCAACTAAGTTTCTTGATTCTGAATGAATGATATTCTCTGTGTACAAAATGGCTATAAAAATTTTCATGTTTTGTGATTTACATATATAAATATATATAATTGTATATATTAGCTAATATATACAATTGTATATACAATTAATATATTAACTAATATGTGCAATTGTATACAATATAATTAATATATATGTGTATATATGTATGCCTCTTCTATGCTTTCCTAACTACAGGCCTTTATTGTAATATCCTTGGACTGGAGACAGTTGCACAGGAAGCCAGGCACTGGAGTATCCAATCCGTATTTGGCTGTGCAGATATTTCTCATTGCTAGCTAGGGTGTGCACTAGAAAACTAGCTATGGTCCAGTAAGGATTGTGAGACATTGTGGTTGTGTTGGCTATTCCTTTCCAGCCTCATGGGTTGTTTATATAAGTACAAGATCATTTCTCCTTAATGCCTATTATACTATCAAAACAGTGGTTTTTAACTGGTAAATACTGGTCGGGACCATTTACCCAATGTTAGAATTAATACTCCGATGAGGAAATCTTGGTAGCTGTAGTAAAGACAACCAAGATGGCGTTCAGAGATCCTTACTTCTCTCTGTTCTTTCCATGTAGATTTGTGACCTAATTGGTATTCAGTGCAATCCTGACACTTGAGACCATTCTTTGTCAAATTTACTTTATAAATTTAGAAGAATAGATGTGAGAAATGAATGGGCTGGTTATTTGTATGTGACTTACATATAGACAATAATGAATTTTCTTTTAATTGCTTTTATAGATATTTCCAAACATTATAGTCAGAAAGCTACAATAGAGCATGAACTTCCAACAGCAACACAGAAGCTGATAACAACTAATGACTGTATCCTGTCATCAGTAGTGGCATTAACAAATGGAGCAGGAAAGGTAATTCTTTTCTGGCTTGTATTGATGTTAAAACTCTTAAATATGTGCTTTTTTTCTGAATGACATAGGAAAATGGATCTGTAAAAGGATTTTGGAATGTAAGGGTTTAAGGTAAAATAAAGCTGTCTCCCTTTCCTCTGCTTCCCACCCAGTATTTACTCTGACGTATTATTTTAAGAGAGGGATCTCTCACTATGTTGCCAGGCTTGACTCAAACTGCTGGACTCAGGGGAGTCTCCTGGGTGGCGGGGACTATAGGCACATGCACTGCATGCTGCTTCCCTACCTAATGTTTAAAGCAATATGACAGTGACTGTTGAGCATTTGTCTTGAGTGTGTAGATCAGTCCCTGTTTATGTTTTAATGCAGTATTGGATGATTAGAAGATTCTAGGTAGTCTCAACATAGATCCTTGTGTATATGAAGGGTCTGCCATATACAACACTGGGAACATACAAAAAAAGAAAACAAACCCACCACAATATACGTTCCATTAATATTTTGTTTTTTTCCTCCTAGTGTTTTTGTATTTTTTTTTTTTTTGGTAATACTTGTGATAATAGTACTTCTGTGGTTTTGTATCTTAATGAGCACTTTAAAGTGACTTCAACGTGTGTCTTTTCGTTGAACCTTTAGTAGTAGGTCATGATCGTCTGGATCATTAAATACTTAATTTTCGCTGTAAACTGACTAAAGTGCAGTTTCTTTAAGAATCCTTTGATAAGCCAGATGCAGTGACTAACACCTATAATCCCAGCACTTCAAGAAGCTGAGGCGGGAGTATTGCTTGAGCCCAGGAGTTCAAGACCAGCCTGGGCAACATGTCAAGACCTCATCCCTACAAAATTAAAAATTAGCCAAGCATGGTGATGTGCGTCTGTGGTCCCTGCTACTTGATTGACCCAGGAGGTTGAGGCTGCAGTGAGCTGTGTTTGAGCCACCACACTCTAGCCTAGGTGACAGAGCAAGACCCTATCTCCAAAAAAAAAGAATGTTTTGATCATGGATTTTCCTGTTTCAGCAGAAGGTATATTCTCAGAGTATGCGTTCATGTGGCTGTCATCAACAACTTTAATGATTAAGATTTCTCTGAGAATGTCCTACATGTATAAAACCAAAAGGACTGTGTTCAGAACTATCTTAGCCCATTTATTTCAGCAAACTGAGCATGATTTCCAAAGGAAATGCTTATCTCTGTGTCTGTCTTTATATACCCTTCTGCTTCTGACAGGTTGACCATAATAGGAACAAATATTCTTCAAGTGATTTACAAGTCAGAAATGATCATAGATCATGTTAGACATTCCAGTGTCATCTTTTTCAAAGTTAGACTGGTCCTGTGACCACTTGCTATACTGTGGGGTCGTGATTAAAACGTGTTATCTTTAGATTCCATCAGCTTACAGATCTATGTGGACAGAATTCCTGAGCCAGAGGACCATCCCCTCTACCTTCTCTTTCACCTCCTTCATCCACGGCATGCCAGATGCTTTCGGAGGATAATCCTAACTTTGATTCAGTTGAGAAAAATTCTATAAAGAGAGAATGTTGGTATTTTATGAGTCTCTGTATTTGCCAACTGTTTTGTTTTTTTTTTTGAGACAAAGTCTCACTCTGTTGCCCAGGCTGGAGTGCAGAGGCGCCATCTCAGCTCACTGCAAGCTCCACCTCCCGGGTTCACACCATTCTGCCACCTCAGCCTTCTGAGTAGCTGGGACTAAAGGCGCCCACCACTGCGCCTGGCTAATTTTGTTTTTGTATTTTTAGTAGAGACGGGGTTTCACTGTGTTAGCCAGGATGGTCTCGATCGCCTGAGAAGGCTGAAATAATTAAATAGTTGTATATTTCATAGTTTATTTTAGCTTTACTTTGCCTGAAACCATAAAATGTCATCTCAAGGAAAGGTATTTGATCTTCACTCTGGAATTTTAATAAATGGTTTTCAACTAAAATATTTGAACTAATGTTAGTTGGTGTCAGCTTAATACTAAATACTTAGCTGATATGATTTGATTAACCTAATTTTACAGTTCGTAATTTCCTTAAGAACCCAGTAGAAGAGTATAGTATATTCATATTAAAAAAAGTCTGGAAAATGTAGAAATATTAGAAAAAAGAAAATAAACCTCACAATATACTACCATGATCCAAATGCAAACAACTGCATGAATCCATGTCATTCACAAGGACTATATAGCTCAAGATTTTTGGAATCCTTACTTTATTGAATACTACCTAACATAGAATTTCATTTGATATAGTAAAATATCAGTGAAAAATATAACCTTTCAGACCATTAGTAATTAATTTTTGACTAATTTTTGCCAAAGTAGAATACTCTGTTTTACAAATTACTTTTTAAAATTTACCAAACTACAATATTCTTTAATGTATACAAGACTGTAACTTTTCTGGCTAAAGCATTTAGCCAGAATGGGAGGCTCAGGCAAGAGGATTACTTGAGTCCAGGAGGTTGAGGCTGCAGTGAGGCCTCCTACCTCAGTCTCCCAAGTAGCTGGGACCACAGATGCACACTGCCATGCCTGGCTAATTTTTCAATTTTGAAGAGGTGGGGTCTTGTCATATTGCCTAGGCTGGTCTTGAACTCTGGGCTCAAGCAATACCCCCACCTCAGCCTCAAAGTATTGGGATTACAGGTGTGAGCCAACGCACCTGGTTTATCAAAGGATTCTTAAAGAAACTGCACTTTGGGCTGGGCGCAGTGGCTCATGCCTGTAACCCCAGCACTTTGGGAGGCCGAGGTGGGTGGATCACGAGATCAGGAGATCGAGACCATGTTGAAACCCCGTCTCTACTAAAAATAAAAAAAAAATTAGCCGGGTGTGGTGGCAGGTGCCTGTAGTCCCAGCTACTCGGGAGGCTGAGACCAGAGAATGGTGTGAACCGGGGAGGTGGAGCTTGCAGTGAGCCGAGATCGCGCCACTGCACTGCAGCCTGGAGCGACAGTGTGAGACTCCATCTCAAAAAAAAAACAAAAAACAAAAAACTGCACTTTGGGCTGGGCACGGTGGCTCACCTGAGGTCAGGAGTTTGAGACCAGCCTAGCCAACATGGTGAAACCCCATCTCTACTAAACACACAAAATTAGGCCAGGTGCAGTGTCTCACGCCTGTAACCCCAGCACTTTGGGAGCCCGAGGCGGGCGGATCACGAGGTCAGGAGTTCAAGACCAGCCTGACCAACATGGTGAAAACCCGTCTCTGCTAAAAATACAAAAATTAACTGGGCGTGGTGGTACGCGCCTGTAATCCCAGCTACTGGGCAGCTGAGCCAGGAGAATGGCTTGAACCCAGGAGGTGGAGGTTGCAGTGAGCATAGATTATGCCACCGCCCTCCAGCCTGGATGACAGAGCAAGACTCTGTCTCAAACAAACGGACAAAAATACAAAAATTACCTGGGTCTGGTGGCAGGCATCTGTAATCCCAGCTACTCAGGTGGCTGAGGCGGGAGAATCGGTCAAACAAACCCAGGAGACGGAGGTGGCAGTGAGCCGAGATTGTGCCACTGCACTCCAGCCTGGGCAACAGAGCGAGACACCGACTCAAAAAAAGAAAAAGAAAAAAAAAAGAAACCACACTTTGGTCAGTTTGTAGTGAAAATTAAGTATTTAATGATCCAGATGATCATGATCTACTATTAAAGGTTCAATGAAAAGACACATGTTGAAGTCACTTTAAAGTACTTGTTAAGATACAAAACCACGGAGGTAGTATTATCACAAGTATTACCAAACACTATAGATTCAAAATCATGGCTCAGAAAGTTATAGCAATAGATCTTTGTGGCTGCTTACATAGAGTTAACAAATGTTAAATCTGTAAATGACAGTCTACTGAATTTTCAGTCTTTCTTTTCTGTATTTGTAATTTATAAATTGAGATTTATAGAATTAAATTTAAATGGAGGTTACATATTCAAGATACTGTGCTATATCTTCTGTTAGAATATGAAATATTCAAAGTTAAAATACAAATGGAATCTAGAAATCCAAACATGGATATTTTAAGAAGAGCGGCAGAAATCAACGAGGTAAAGAGCTCATGAAAGTCACCTACAGAATCAATGAGTATCAGTCTTGGTTTTCAGGAAGAATAGAAATTGTCTAGAAAAGGACACGTCAGAAATTTGTTCTATTTATACTGGTGTCCTCTTTTTATTATAATCCATTGCCTAGGTATTCTCAAATAAATAAATGTGGGCTTTGGGGCAGGTGTTGGAATTTCATTTCCATTTCCGTTCTCAACATCTTTAAACTTTGCTGCAAAAACTATTAGATACATATTTTAGATATATTGTTGGAAAACAAAATCTGTTTTCTTGTCACACTTTGTTTAGATTGCATCCTTCTTCAGCAACAATTTGGACTACTTCATTGCTTCACTGAGCTATGGACCTAAGGCAGCGAGTGGATTCATTAGTCCTCTTTCCGCTGAATGCATGCTACAGTATAAGAAAAAAGCTGCTGCCTATATGAAGTCTTTGAGAAAGGTTTGTTAGCTGCTGTTAATGGTTAAATCACAGGAAACATCAGGAATCATTCTATAGAATGGCAAGAGTTTTTCTGCAGTTTATATTGCTGACATTTTATACGATATTGGGGTGCAGGTTGTTGGTGGGTGTTGGGGGAGGACTGTGGGGAAGAAGAGGTGACAGGACCCGGACTTTACCTGATAAGCAGCATTGCCTATATTCATAGGCCATGTTGGACTCATGTCCCAAGTGCCTGATAAAGTGCCTGGGGTGAGGTAGCCAGGCAAACAGTAAATATTGAACTTCAGAAACTCGTAAACTTGCGGAAACAGAACAAAGAGAAATATGTGTGTGATTTTTTTTCTGAATAAGAATATGCGGTTATTGCAAAAAAAAAAAAAGATACTACAGTACATTAAGAAGAAAATTGTGGTCACCTGTAATCCTACCACCCAACTGTAGCTACACTTGACTTTGTTAGAAAACAATATATTTATATCCAAAAAATGTTAGTATATGTTGTGAGTGCACGTGCACACATATACTATAAAAAGCAGAATGTATTTAGGTGCATAGACTGTTTTAGAATTTGTTTTCTCTTAATGCATTGAGGATATATTTATATGTATCTCAAAAATTGTATCTATAAAATACATGACTCAAGGGACATCATTAAAAAAGAATGAAAGAAATAGGAATAATAAAATATAAAATATAATATAAATTACTATTATATATTTTTATTTTTTAGCTGCTCCTTGCGGAGCAGGGCTAACTTATAGACAGTGCACCCAGAGCTGCCAGCTGTCATCATTATTTATAGTGTTTCCTTCTGTAAATGTATAATTTAATTCATTGCTGGTAGATATTTAAGTTGTTGCCTGTTTTTCACTGTTACAGTGGAGTGCTACAGTGGATATTCTTGCACATGCAATTTGTGCATTTTACTTTTTTCTCTTCATTTCTTTAAACATTTTAACTATGCAGTGCATAAACACGTTCTTATGTTAAATTCGATCATTACAGGTAAATTATAATCCCTAATTCCAGTTCCTCTCTAGAGGTAACCATAGTTTTCAGTTTGATGTGTAACCTTTCAGGCTCTTTGAGCATTTATAAGCATGCAATCTATAAACAATACACAGAATTTTTCTTCCTTCCTTCCTTCACTTTTCTTTTGTTCTTTTCTCTTTTTTTCTTTTCTTGTCTTTTTTTCTTACCAAATGCATGTTTCATTGTGCAGTTTGCTTTTTTTCTTTAAAATAATGATTTAGAGACTGTGTCTATCATTACATGTGGTACTCACTATATTCCTTTTAGATATGGCATAGAATTCTATAATATGGATGTTCCATAGTTTGTTTAGGTTTCCCTTAATTGGTAGGCATTTAGGTTAATTCCACTTTTTTACCATTACAATAATACTGCAAGGGATAGCCTTGTAAATGGTTCCTTGGGCACATGGGTGGAATATGAGAAGTAGAGTGTTGTAGGCCATGTGGCTTGTACATTTTAAGTTTTAATAGTAGTTGCCAGTTGTCCTTCAAAATGGGTACTCTGAAGGATACTTCCCACAGTATAAAAGCTACCTATCTCCCTATGTGAATTGCTGGTTCAAAGTCTGTGAATGTTTCAAATTTTGGCATGTTTTTCCAGACTATACTCCAGGGAGGTTACCTATTTATAGTTTGCCAGTAGTAGAAATATGAATTTAACCCATGCATTTAATATTTGTCCATCTCAGAAGTTTCTTGCTGTTGTTTTGGTTTATATATCTTTGCTTGTTAATGAGATGGAACATCCTTTCATGGTTATCACTTATGTTTATTGTATAAATTCTCTATTCAGGTCATTTACCTATTTTTAAATAAATGTTTCTAATTAGCATTGAAAGAGCTCTCTCTATATTAAGAATGTTAATTTTGTGTTTATGTGGGAAGTATTTTTCCCTAGTTTGTTGTAGTAGTTCTTCAAAATAGAAGTTTTTATTTTTGTATCATCAAATAGGTTTTTTTCTTCATGGAGATCATTCTTAGCCAGGGTTACTTTCCAAGGTAGTCACCTCTATTTTCTTCCAGCATTTTGCAGTCTAAATTTTTACATTTGGACAGGCAGCCTGTAGTAGCTGGAAAAAAATACATAAATAAATTTTTAGATTTGGATCTTTAATTCAACTAGAATTTATTCTGATACAAGATGTCAAAGAAGGATCTACATTTTTTTTTCAATAATTAGCTGGTTGTTTTTATATCATTTATTTAGTCCATCTTTTCTTCAGTCAGAAATGCAATATTTGCCAGATAATAAATTTTTATGTATGCTTTTGTTTGTTTCTGGATTTTCTATTCTGTTCTTCATCTGTCTATATTGGTGCAAGTCCATATGGTTTTAGTTAGTGTAGCTTCTACTGATGCCCCGTGACTTATGATGGGATTACGTCCTGATAAGCCCATTGTATGTTGAAAATATTGCAGCCGGGTGCAGTGGCTTATGCCTGTAATCCCAACACTTTGGGACACCAAGGTGGGAGGATCACTTGAGCCCAGGAGTTGAAGATCAGCCTGGGTGACATAGGGAGACCTCGTCTCTACAAAAAAAAAAAAAAAAAAAAAATTAGCCTGACATGATGGTGCATGCCTGTAGTCCCAGGTACATGCTTGGGAGGCTGGGCTGAGGCAGGAGGAGCCCTTGAATCTGGGAGGTCAAGGCTGCAGTGAGTCGTGATCACAGCACTGCACTCCAGCCCAGGGTGACAAAGTGAGACCTTGTCACAAAAAAAGAAAAAAGTCAAAAATGCATTTAATGTACCTAATCTACCAACCTAGCCTGCCTTAAATGTGCTCAAAACATTTACATTAGCCTACACTTGGGCAAGTCATCTAACATAAAGCCTATTTAATGTAATTAATTAATTAATTTATTTTTGAATCAGAGTCTTGCTCTGTCACCCAGGCTGGAGTGCAATGGCACGATCTTGGCTCACCACAACCTCTACCCCCTGGATTCAAGTGATTCTCCTGCCTTAGCCTCCCACAGGCTCCTGCCACCACGCCTGGCTAATGTTTTTTGTATTTTTAGTAGAGACAGGGTTTCACCATGTTGGTCAGGCTGGTCTCAAACTCCTGACTTTAGGTAATCCACCCGCCTCGGCCTCCCAAAGTGCTGGGATTACAGGCATGAGCCACTGTGTCTGGCCTTATTTATTTATTTTTGAGATGGCGTCTCACTCACTCTGTCACCCAGGCTGGAGTGCAGTGATGCAACCTCTGCTCACTGCAGCCTCTGCCTCCGGGATTCAAAGGATCCTCCTGCCTCAGCCTCCTGAGTAGCTTGGATTACAGGTGTGTGCCACCACGCCCGGCTAATTTTTGTATTTTTAGTAGCATCAGGGTTTCACCATTTTGGCCCAGCTGGTCTCAAACTCCTGACCCCAAGCCATCCATCACCTCAGTGTCCCAAAGTGCTAAGATTACAGGAGTGAGCCACCAATCCTGGCCAATTTTGTGATAGTGTTGAATGTATCATATAACTTACCGAATACTGTACTGAAAGTGAAAAACAGAATGGTTGTATGTATGAGTATTCAAAAGTATGATTTCTACTAAATGCACCATTGTA